AAAATTTTGGAATCACTGTCCTGGAATTTACCTGGACTTTGTGGCCAGACATCTGTTTAAATTTATCTTCAAAATGCGCCCTCTCAGTTGCTGGGAGCTCTGAAGATAACCCTACTCTCTCATGGGATCCTGGCACCTGTGACATTGTATCAGGGAACATTAACAAAAACATGGAATTTTAGGACAACAAGGAACTAATCAGATACCCAATTTGAACTACTTCTACGCAGGAAAGATTACAGAATTTTATCCAGTAAGTCCTGCACTGAAACATCACATAATTCTGTAGTACTTTTCCCTTTGAAGTAAAAATTAGTGGCCTTCTGTGCTAGTGAAATTCCCTGCTGAACTTAACAGGATTTATAACATAACAGAACTCTGCCCACATGGCATGCTGCAAACTGGTCCTTCGTCATCACTGCATTCAAGTCTTGGTGATTCAACAAGATTCTATCTTTCATGAAAAGATGTAATCTTGCCATGAGCTTTTAAGTAGTTATTGATTACCATTCTTCCTGAAATGGTGCTCCAGTGCTCTTACAGTAATATTTTTCACCTTGTTTCCAGTCACTGTATCTTATTGCACCTTCGTTAGACTATGGGGTTTTTTTTTCCTATTTTCTCTATCTGTTAATATCTTACTGCAGTAAGGCACCAGATTTATCTATTTTGAGATCCCATTTGAAGGCATATTTTTGAGGTACACACTATTTTCACAGGTCTTCTCTGAAGCGGGCTTAATTTTTTTGAACTGTAAACGCCTTTGGGCACAATATTCCAAGAATGGTATCATCAAAACTACACAGTGTGTGTGTGCATGTGTGTACACACACACACGGAGGAAAAAAACATGCTTTCTCCTGAACAGAAAATTTCATTTTGGGTCCTATGTTCTCTTTTGGAAAAGTAGAGAAAATATACAAAATGGTCTCTAATTCTTCTCTGTGCTTACAATTTAGTATTTTAAAATTTCTGTCTTCCCATCTCACAGAGCCTACAGTTTCATTACTAGGTTGCTTAATCTCGGCTACTTTACCTATTTCTCACTGGTAAGCTTACCAAGCGAGACACAGAACTTTGCAGTTTTACACAACTAAATGTAAATGGGATAATGTATTGATCATTTCCACCTTCCCTTATTGGCCTAAAAAAGACAGCCCAGGAATTTACCTGGATTCGAAGATCAGACATCTGTTTTAAGAGATCCTCAAAGAGCTCTCTGTCAGCTGCTGGAAGTTCTGAAGACAGCACTACTCCCACATAGGACCCTGGTATCTGGGACATCGAGTCAGGGAACATGTAGACACCAGTATTGCAGCACAGAACAGGAGACTGGTTACGCATTAGAGGATACAACCAGTCACAAACCTAGAAAAGATAAGTACATAAAAGGAATTAAAGGAACCTTTTAAAAAGAAAGGCAGGCACAATGTACTGATAAGCACCAGAAACTCAATTTTCCGTAAAGTTTAGTAAGAAAAAGAAAAAAGCCTTGTATCATCTTGGAAAAAAAAAAAAAGGAAGAAAAAAACCCCAAAACAAAAACCCCACATGACTGTGGAAATACCATTCTTGATTACTTCTGACAGTCTAATATAGAGAAAATACTAATTTTCACAGGACTATAATTCAGGCTGGTAGCCTCTTAACTGAGGTCTAGTCTTGAGGCCCAGGTGTAGAAGCAGATGAAAAGCACTGCCAAACAAGTCAGGATTCACAGTGCCTGTATCTTCCTGTAGCTCTCAGGACAGTTTATATACTCGGATAAAGAGAACGTATGGCTGTCGCTGGCTAACTGTTGAAGACTGCTAACACAGGTGGAGGTGAACCAGCAGACCCAAAACCAGGAAGCGGTTTTTGTTTGTTCCTCCAAGTTTCCCCTTCGCTGATGAGACTTTCAACAGCCAATCTTAGCAGCAACAAGGAGATCCAAAGTCAGAAACCAGACCAGAAACACAACGTACGTTACAGAAAATGCCCATATGAAGCAAGCATGGACTGAAAAAATCTAAATAATGCATCTTTTTTATTTGTAGTTCAGAGTCTGGATTAACATGGGGCCTCAAATTCCAAATTATCAGTTGTCCTAACTGCAATACCTTATCACTAGTTGAGGCTGAAGTGGGTAGCATGCAACCCTGTTTTACACTGACGTGTTACAATAGGTGAATCAACATGTCTTCTCTATGCGAGGAAAGGGAAGTTAATTTTATGAAATGAAAAGACATGTTAAGTCAAGTCCTTTAGAAAATGGAATTCACCAAAACGGTCAGCACTCGACAACCTTGGGAAGACACAGAGGTGATTTTCACAGAAAAAGTCATAAAAGTGTGTATTTGCAGAAAACCATTTTTCCAACAGCTATAACACCTTTCATATTATCACACAGAGATTTAGGCTCAGAAAAGCAAGAACTTGAGAAGACTGCCTTTTAAGATTTTATGACAGTTCTTAAAATCTAATTAAAGGAGAAAATTATTTTCCTGTTACCTGAAGAAACGCAGGTGGACGATTCTGGGCCATCTCACTATCTGTATCCAAGAACTTCACAATGCGTAGATATCCAGGATATGAAGGAGCACTAACCTGCCCATCAGGAGTCACAAAGAATATTTGTACTCCTTGGGGAATCAAGATCAGCTCATCCGCATCCACTCCCAGGTTTTCAAGGGGAGGTGGCTGAGTACACTTACTGTAGTAGTCCTCACCTACAGAAGAAAACTCCCCAGAGTCTGTGCCATAAGACACAGTAAAATGGCCATTGGTAGCTTGAGGAGTGTAGGCAGGAGGTGCTTCATTTGGCAGACAAAGAGGTTTTGCAGATGATGGACTCATAGCTGGAATTTGCCCCTGGCTCACAGTTGCAGCACTTCCATCTGCTGCAGGTGGCTGACTTGGTACAAACAGAGAACTAGGGGCTGGGGGTCTTTCTGGCTTTTCTTTGGAAGGAATGGATGGGTACAACTTGGGCACCCCAGCAGGGGCAGCCATTGCAGCAGGACTTGCTTGTACAGGTGGGGTGTTTTGTTCTAGAATGCCGAGTCGAGCGTGAACATTTCGGAGGGTCTCCCTCATCTTCTGTTGCATTTGCCTGGCAGACTCCCACTGGGACCCTACACACGCGGGACCCTGCGATGGAATGCTAACTCCTCGGAGCAAGTGGTCAAGTCCTTGCTTATAATAATTTCTTGCCTCTTCCTTCTGACCCAGTTCATCTGTATTCAGTCCTCTATTGATAAAAATAAAGGCTTTCCTGTACTCTTCATTAATGGCTTTAATATTTGCGTCTTCTTGCATAACTGGATCCTGTAGTTGTTCCATTACTGCAAATTGGAATAGATTAGTAGGAGTATTCACAGATGAAACCAAACAAAGTTTACCTTAGAATAAAACATCTTCTAACCGGTTTCTAACAATGACTATACTCCTTGTATTAGCAGAAAGCTATCTAGTTGCTTGGTACAGTGTCTGGTGTGTTGTGGTTATCTCCTATTAAACTTCAGATTCAGTCAGCAAGGAATTTAACTCTATAACCATCACATCTAGTTACATCACAGACAGGTATTTCTTAGAAGTTAGGCATCAGAAGAATATGGATACACCTGATATTAGACTTTCCATTTTTACAAGTATTAAGATCAGTAGCAAATGGTGGAGTTAAAAAAAATTAACACACTAACTTTACTTTTGATAATATTTTCAAAAAAGTCTCTAGGGTATTAAAAAATTCAGTTAACATTTTGCCTATTTAAATAAAGGCTGAACTTACAAACTCTACATCTTTATTTAAATGATTTAAGGGAAAGCACTCAACAGACTTAAACAAATCTTGATAGACTCCAAGATAGACACAGAACTGGGAAGAAATACTTCAAACAGTTAAAGCTATGCCTTACAAAATGAAAACAGGGAATTAATTCCTTTACAGTGTTTATGAAGCGAGAAAGACAACTGGCATTTTCCCTTCCTTGCTCCCCAGGTGACAAAAACCTGAAATGCCAGTATGTACAAAAAGTTGCAGGTTCTATTTCTATTTTGGAATATTCCTCGAACAGCCTCATATATATTTCAACAACTGAAGAGCAGAAAAGAATCCAATAGGTTTATCTGAACTTTAAAATGCACAAAAATCACTGTTTTAACTGAATGCAGGTTTTCAGTCTTGGCCAAATGCAGCAAATACAAATCATTCTTGGACTAAGACAGTGTTTACAACACACAATGTAAAAAAAAAAAAAATCCAGTGAGGCTTTTTGCTGACAGTGTTGAGAGGCATTGTCAATTCAGAAAAATCAGAGTAACGATCATGGACAACAAAAATGGGATACCATTTAAAAATGAAAGAGCATGCATTTTTAAGAAAAACTGATTCTATGATGTAAGCTGGACGGAAGAAAGGAGAAAAATCTAGAGACATCTGTCAGTCACAACGATCGGAAGCTACAGAAAACATGGGGGTAAGTAAAATCCATAGCGTGAAAAGAAAAATACTTCCATTACACATACAGAAGCTTTAATGCCACCGTACAAAGCACTGGTGAGACCTCACACAACGCTGAGCCACATTCAAGAAAGCTGCACCAGAACAGGAAGAGGCATGGAGAAAGCTACTGAAATTGCTGGTGAATCAATTACTTTTCTTTTCCCTAGACAGAGGTAAATTTGGCTTACTAAGCCAATAAACCAAAGGCTAAGAGATTGGATTAGTCTCCATACATAAACTGGCTGAAAAGAAGAAAGTAAATCAGGAAAGAAGAAAAGAACTACTGAAATCCAAACTTTTATTAAAATCCTGAAATAGTACCTATATTTAAGTTTATTTAATGTCTCTTCTTATTTTAGTCTAACTACTAATAAAGTTAAAAAAAAAAGTGGAAAATATCCTTCCTCTACTCCAACAAAAACAGAGAAACTTAAGAAGTGCAGGTCATGAAAAGATTTTAGAGGCGAGGATGGAATGCTGTGCTCTACTCCTAGATCCTTTATGATCAAAATGCAGATAGCACTTATGTCACTGATGCATCTGCAGTCACATGACAGAAGTGCCATATAATCTGGAACACATTTGTATTTTTACGATGCGACAGAATCCAATTTCATGCAAAAGATGAGATGCATGATTTCAGTCTAACAATAGACACGTAGCTAGGAATATGACAGGGATGGCTTGAGAAGGCAGCCCACATGGAGCAGGTCACCAGCGACTCAAGCCACCAGGCTTGCTGCCCATTCCCCATCATGTAGCAGAAAAACAAATCTTGGGCTGGAGGAGATTTTTCTGGTTGATTGCTGTCACCTGCTGCCAATAGGCTCAACATCTTTGATTTAAGCTGAAGAACAACACTGACATAAGAATAAATGTATATTTAATAACCACCAAGGACATCAAGTTTAGAAGTTATAAGCGTGCTTCTGACCAGCACAACAGCAAGCAATTATAATGAAAGTAACTGAAAAGAACTCGTCATAACAAATTTGCGAATATAGCTGGATCCTTACATGAAAGATTATATTTAACCATGTCGTACATTTATGACCTAGACATTAACCATTTAAGATACACGTAGTTGAAATACTTGCTAGCAAAAAACCCTAGGGACTCCCAAACCACATCATCTTGTGTCAACACTCTTATTTACTAATGAAAAATCCATTTTTCCTTGTAAGAGGGTTATAAAGGTAAAAAACAATTTAACAGTAAAGAACTCCGATTTAAAAATTATTGTAGGTTTCCAAAACACAGAAAATGTTTAGAAGACTGAGAAAGACAGAGTTTGACCTAACATCACAGTTTACTTCTTTATGAGCAAAACTTAGTGTTTTGACATTTTTAGTGCCCGTGAATTCAATTCTATAACAAGTCCCTTCTTAAGGCTTTAAGTGAACAATTAATTTGTGTGAACACAATTGCAGTACCATAGTCTACTTTGCCTCATGCTTTTTGATTTGTTTTTGCTGGGGGAGTCTAAGGCAAAGATACTTTACAGATTTCAAATAATTCTTTTGCTGGTGATTGTTAGTATATAACAAGAAGAGACATCAGGTAAAATCCTAGTCACAGCTACATTTCAACTTAATAGTGAATTAATTTACTATTTACTGTACGCTTGTCATACTGTCAACACCACTGTTCTTGCTAAAGCTCAGTCTTTATTAACACTAAAAGAGGTCTGTAAGAAAATGGAGATGTCAGCACGATCAGTGTATACGCAGCACTAGTGCATGGCCGTGCATGGCAGAGATACAAAAGCTGGCTCAACAATTCAGAAGAGTGCGAATGTTACAACTCATCTGCCATTGTTTGAAGCATCCCAAGCTTGCAGTTTATGTACAATATAGTTACCAACAAACTATGCATTTGGGTGGCAAAGCACTTGGAAATGGAAGAAGGAATTCACAATAGATTTTAAGTTTAACACAAGATAACTAAAAGTCAGCTTAAAGAGCTGAATTTAATTAATTCTTATTAATTTATTAAGACAAAATAATGGATGGTATAAAGTAAATAAGCCAACTGGACCGCTCCCTCACAACACAAGAAATACGCTACTTAAATGTTCTGTTTCAGAGAAATCTGATCATATGCAAGGAAGATCCTCGGTCATTATTATTTTCAGTGTATGATCTTAATATAGTATTTAAGTGTCCTGCATGTTTTAATATTTATCTGTAATCCACTTCTGTACAATGCAGAGTCTTATTTCCTCTGTTTTAAAGCTGGAATGAATGGCAAAGCGTGTATTACTAAATACCAGAGTGCCGCAAACCAACCTTTGGTCCTACAGCCAGTACAGATTGGCCCAAATCTGTACTACTTAGTACTAAGTAAGATTTACAGGAACTTGTCCTGGAGAAAGCTGGTCCAAAACAGAGCTAAGAAAAGAGCTAATAGGCACTGCAGAAAATCACAGATCAATCCAGCGCTTGAGCTCATTCCTTGGCCCTTCTTCATTTATCAGTACAGATATACTCTGTGGTTTTAAGTGACTCGACCAAGGGAGGCTACAGTGCAACAGGGAAACTTGAGTTCAATTTGATATTGTAAGCTAACATCTCAGCTATCTGGCTGACCATCCTTCCTCTGAAGCAGGAAACCCCACTTCATTAAAAAATAATGTATATTACAGAAATACAGCTCAATGGTGGATCTTACTGCCAGAAGGTAAACAGGAAGCCTAAAGCTTATTAAGAGGATTGAATATCCTGACTGACAGAGGTAGGACACTCTTTCCAACTGTTTTTGAAACCTGGGGTGTGTAGGGGAGGAAAAAGCAAAACCAAAACAAATCCCTTAATCCAAGAGCTCTTCCTGTATGTCAACTGTTTTTCTGTCAGCCACCAATTTCAAAGATGAAGAGGACGAAGGAGAACTACCATGCAGACAGAATTAAGCCTTATTTCTGTAGTGAAAGAGCAATTAAGAAAGTATTAGTAACTTTCCAGAATTTAGAGAACAAATGGAGTTAAAACAAATGTTATAAAGGATTTAAACTAATACAAGCCAGGTACTAGCTGATACTGTCATGTTTTTTTGCTTTTAGTTTCTTTAAATTAATTTGTTTACAGTAGCCCTTAAATTTTTCATTAAGTGGTGGCCTACTGCTCATTTTTAAGCACCTAAGGCTAGATAATATCAAAGACCAGACAACAGAGAAAGTCAGTGATCTGATCTAACACGGTAACTGTTACTCTCTTAAAATTACTGAAGACTTCAGTAAACTCCCATCTTCTGACATTTCAACCTACACCATATTCTCAGGCCGGTATCCCAGCACCTATATTCACCCAGCCAGCATGTCTAATTTTCCTCCTCTCAGTACTACTGCTGCCTCAAGCCTTTTTTTGTCCAAATAAATGGACTTCCTTCCTGACTCCTTGATCTGTATTTCCATCACATGCTCTCAACGCAGAGCTTTTAGGCTCTGAGTGCCTACTTGGTACTTCTCTAAAAAGGAAAGTGAGAAACCAGTAGGGCAGGTAATTCCCTTCATCATGCAGCTGTGCTGTCCAGCACTTACATTTTTCACAGCACTGAAGTACAAAGACATTGTCACGATCTACCATTCTGCAGCCAAAGATTCTAACAGCATCACAGAAAATTTAGGGTTACGTAAGATAGCTATTTAATACTTTTTCATTAGCAGTGCGCCTGCCAGTTTCTGATCACTGCCAACAGATTTTTCCATATACAAACAACTGAAGCCCAAACTGTCTGACATGAATCTTTTGAAAAAGACAAAATACAAGGAGCAGTCTTCCGATGTATTTTGACAAACAACCTCTCAGATCCATAAGGAGATGCTCAAAAAATGATTATCATGGCTACTTCAACCCGGCCTGGTCACACCCCACTCCATCCCTCCCCGCTGCTCCCCCGGCTCTCCCTGGCATCAGAGCTCGCGTTGGCGAGGCGGCACCTCCACCCCCCACCAGCCCCGACCACCGCTCGCCCTGCAGCGCAGCGGAGTGGGATTCCCTGCTCCTTCCGAGTCAGCCTGACCGCACCGCGGAGACGCGGGGATCCACACCTGCCGCCCGGCCTCAGGCTCCTCTGCAGTGAGAGGATACGAACCACCCGGACGCCCGTCACCACCCACCAGGCCCT